CTTAAGATTGATCTTTTGTCTCCAGATTGATCCCCTATTTCTTTACCCAGTCACAGCAATCATTATTTCCTCATTAATCTGAAATACCCAGTGTGCCAGGAGAAATGGATAACAATGCTGCTGTTAAGCATCTCTCTTCCTATAGTATTATGGGTATACCAGGCAGAATTCCTTCACACACCTAGTGACACTCCCTTTCTCAGCATATTGCAAGATGACAAAGTATCATAGACATTATTTGCATTTGAATTGATTGAGTAACATTAGTTAACTAGTGCAAATGTTAATTTTAGGCAGGGAACACAATATTTACATGAAATAGGAGTGCATGTTTAGAAAATCTAACCATGGAAAAAAATGGTTTTGTATTGTCCACTATAATTTTTGTCATAGAATAGAATGACAACTTTTGAAAAGGTGTAAATATGAATCAGGAAGTTCCTGCTCCAGAAAATAGGTATGTCCGTATATATTGATTTTATCTCCATAATTATCTGCTTTCCATGTCAGCCAAAGCTATAATTTTATTTTAAAAATCAAAAGTGAGGAACAGCTCATATTTCACAAAAAGAATTGGCAGAACAATAGTCTGCATATTTGTCTCCTATCATGAATTCTGCAAGACCCTGAACAACTTGTCCCTGACTTGGTTCTTTCAAGTTATCTTGGACTACAACTCCAAGAATTCCCAGTCAACATGGTCAACGTTTGACATATATGGAAAGTGCCAGTTTGTGGAAGCCCAAGATAGTGTTAGTTTCTTCTTCTAATTAAAGCTTAGGAGACAAAGTGTATCCTTTTTTCTACGGTAAGACTTTATTGTCATCATTGCAACTTATATGATGGAGTTAGTCATTTTTGACTCCTAATAGTTTTCTTCTGTTGGATCCGAATAGTAGATTTGTATGTACCTGTCAAAGCTTGGCTCAGAAAGTACACTATTTTAATTTACACTTCATCGAGCATTGCAGTGAATTTTATAAGCCTATGAGGGATATGCTAAAGTAGCTTTTCCCAGCCTAGTGCCTTCCAATTGTTCTGGCACTGTCATCTCTGATAAAAGTTTAATGGAAACTCATCTGCTTGTTAATATCTTCCTCAAATGATCTGCCTGGTATGCTAGTTCCTTAGGTTATGCATTGACTCCATTTTAGATTGTGGGCAGAAACTGTGTGTCTCTCTGTCTCTTTCTCTCTGCTTATTGCATACAACACTTTTGGATGCTGAGAACACAAGCCAAGACTGACAATCATGGGTGGGTAGGTATAAGCATGCACTCTTCACCGCTGAAACTGTTCAAGCTTATCAACAGATATTTCAATTCTGAGTAATGGCTAGTAGCTGGGAGAGCTTGGTGCTATTAGATTTCCATTGTGTAAAAATCACAATCCCCACAATGCCATCTGCCTATTTTTTGACTGATCTGGCCACTCCTCTGCTTTTTTTTTTAATTGCTTAGCACCATTACCATGCAACGAGCAATTCTAAAACTGCATGAATTAACTTGTTTGAATGAGCAAGATCCTGCCTTGCTTTTAAAAAAGGTTTTTTAAATGAGATTAGATGCTTACATACCTGAACAAACCCATTTATGAAATTATCATGGCAGTTTTTAAAGCTCTGTAATGTTCAAGGATGATATAATACAACCAGTTAAACATGTGGTGTAATTATGGTATGTTCACTAACATAGTATTGATTGAACAATACTGCATGAACAAAAAGGTAACTGAAGTTCACTGAGGGTCAACTAATGTATATTAGCTTATCTCAGTGACATAGCCTAATATCTGAAACAAAACAAAAAGTTATGCGTGGAGGAGGAGAAGAGGACATGAGTTGTCTCATGTGTCAGCTAAAGGGTGATACTAAGTACATAGCTGAACAATTACATCAACCCAATACCACTTTATGCAACATGTCATATTAACACAGATGTATGTTTTTGCTGGATCAGAGCCTGCAGGTTTGGTTTTGTTTTGTTTAAGACCATTAGTAACATTGTGCTTTACCCAAAGAGTTCTTGGTTGATGGGGGAATAAGTGGTTGGAAGCATACACACACACATACGCACAAGCACACGGTAACCACTTACCTGATTCCTGGTGTGGGTTCTTCTTGCTTCCAGAGAGTCCAGGTCTGCAATTATGTCAACATACTGTTAGCCTCTGTATTATCAGAGCTACACAATAGAGGTAGAGTGCTGGAATAAGGAGATCCTCCTGTGCAACCTAAGTATCTTTTGTTGTTAGCATTGCTTATTCATGTTGTTAAGGATTTATTATTTTTCTATGAGATGATTCTGAACTGTACCCTGCCCTGAATCCCAAAGAGGTTATAGTGACGGGCAGTATATATACTCTATGTTTTAGTTCACTTTTTAAAAACAGAACATTTAAAATGTAAGCACAAGAGCTCACTAGATTCCTAAGCAAGGCAGGAACTTATATGAGCAGAACATTTTGGAGTTCTTTGCCTTTTATTGATAATGGGTGTTGCAGAACTTCAGTTCCCATCACCCTAGCCATCAAGGCAAATAGTGAGGGACAATGGGTTATATAGTCCTACAACATCAGGAAGGCTGTATGTTGCTTATCCTTGTCTTCAAAGGCTTGGGGGCCCTATTGGGCCCAAGAGAATGTTATATGCTCCAGTCATACCTGCCCAACCAGAAACCCTAGGGCATCCAATACTTTTGAAGCTGCATCTAAGAGTCTTTTCCAATGTTGCCATCCCATGTAATTGTTAATGGGACAAGAAAAAATGATAAAATACATGGGGAGTAGTCATATTCATGTAAATGTATATCATATCAGATTTAGGATTTGTTTTGGCCTGATCAGTTTTTAGAGCATTGTTCTTGTTGTGCCATTTAAAGGCCAAGTGTGGTCCTGATGTGAAAAATATTGTACATCCCTATTCTTAGTCTATATTCTAGATTAGGTATATCATTGACTAAATTCAGATTCCAATGGGATTTGTTTTTACTCTTTTTTATTTTTATTTTTTTTAATGCAGACCCCTATGTCACATAATAAATTGCTTTTAAGATTGTTTTCAGTAATTCAGGAAAAAACTAATTTATAACATCCCTGAGCTCACAGAATGTTTCACAGTTCTTGGGATCTTTGCCCAAGTTCTCAGACAAATCTGATACCTGCATCCTATTAGCAGGTGACTTTCTACATTTTATTCTGTCTAACATTTGGAATTATTAATCCTTTTCTGTCTGTAAAGAAGTTGGAGGTGGCATCATCATATTGATTCACAATACACTCAGTTTTAGACTGTAAACTGTACTCAGCTGCAGTAAACTTCATAGAAAACCCTTTATATTTGCAGTGAATGTTTGCAGAATTGAAACATTCTGAAAACTGTGAAAAGCATTAATTATACTTAAAATTCCTTATGTGAATCTATCAAATAAATGACCAGTAATTTATCTGAATTTGCCTTTTCAAAGAAAAATCATCAGAAAGGCAAAACTATTCTGGCCAGTGTTTACTGAAACTCTCATTTGAAAAAACCTGTCTTAGCATCAACATTATCACATCAATTTCAAATTATTTTGTGCCCACTAGTTGTGCATTTTCTGGTGCTTTCCCCCCACAATACAGAATGGTTCTCTGTAGTTACAATGACATATTCTTTTTACCCCTCTAGAAAAAGTGATAGAAGCAAGAGTATAATTTTGGAAGGAAAACAAGTGGAATTATACAGTACTCTACCAAGGAGTTAAACCGTAAGATTTTTTTTATGCCATCAGTAAGGCTGCAAACATACTCTGCATAGTTAATGCATCCACTGAGCTGTCAGTTAAGTAAACTGAACCAAGAACATTTAGGAATGCTTATATAATAAAATAACCTTTTTAAGTGTAGTATATAATTAGTAAAAGAAGTGAAGCAGCAATTCATTATTGAACTTGCTTTGTGAATTTTTCACCCATAGTTCCAAACTCTATGATAATAATTTAATTCTAAGAACAAGAACATATGTAACCAAATGATATTATTAAAACTAATAGCATTTTCACAGTGTTGCTTATATGGTTGCAGCCTTATTGGATACTGTGGGGGAAGGATGTGTGCATAAAACTACAATCAAAGTTAATCTTTCCCCGTGGTCCACAGTTCTACCAAATTAACCCCACTTGTTCAGGTTGCTTTAAAAATATGTATATATTTCACTGCTGTAAATAAGCTTCTTTTTAAAATTTGCTGTAAGATGCACAGAGCTGGAAAGGATTATTTTTGCAAACAACAGGGCTTGTGAAACTTCCTTTGGTGTGTTTATGTGATCCCAGTCCAGACTGAACTTACTGAGAAATAAAATAAAAAGGGAAGCAGCATACTATGCAGTTGGTGAGCTGGACTGTATGACCCTTAGATCATACTTTAATGATCAGCAACTTTAAGCTGTGTGGACTTCAACTCCCAGAATTCCCCAGCCACACATCTTAAAGTTGCTGTAGTTGAGAAATCCTGGTATATGGACTGGTTAACTTGATAAAATGTCTCACGTTATATTATATGCAAAATTGCCAAAAAAGAGAGGAAGCTGTCTTTGACTGAGCCAAACTACTTGGTCTCCCTCGCCCAAGGTTTTCAACAAGATCTGGCTGAAGTTCTCCAATGTTTCAGGCAGCGGGATTCCAAGTTTGAAATAGCCAAGAAAGAAGATCAGATCTCCTGCAAGCAAGGAATATCTTCTTTAACTAAGTAACTGTCCTTCAGCCTTTATTAATATAATTCTTGACTCTTTTAGATTTGTGCATCTGAACAAAATGTAGTAATGGTAGTATGTAATATCTAATAAGCAGGACTGGTTGATGGCCACAGATATGGTTGTATTCGCTTACAGTCTTGTGATCTGGTGAGTTATTCTGTCTTGCTGCTGCAGAACTCTTTGAAAAGATTATTTCAATTTAATGGAGATAATGAATTTGGCATTATGATATCAAACAAACCAAAACAAAAAAACACATTGGAATTTCAAGTCTTTATTTGTAGCTTATAGTTTGCTTCTAACAGTGCCATATACATACTCTGTGCTCCACATCTCATATGAGTATAACTCTGGGTGAAGTGTTGAGGTTGCAAAGTGTATGAGCTCATACTGAAAAAGTTGGTAAAAGAAGACTGCATTTGCACATTCAGAACAGACACTCATTAATAGACAAATTATGGCCATTTGTATAAGCTGCCAAGAAATACTTACCAAAGTGCACAAGCACAGGTTTCCTAGAGCAGCTTTACACATGTTGTTTTTTAAATAATACATAAAAAAGAAACAAGCAAGGCGATCACCTCCATGGATGGAGAAAGCAAGTCCATTACTACTTGTGAGATGAATGGGAAATCATTATTTATTAATTACTTATTATATATTCAATCCATCCAATAACTGAAGTGATTATGCAACACATGGTATGAGTCACCATACTGATTTACACAGTGTGTTGCTGATGTAGACCCTTGTGGTTAAATAAACATTAGCCTTGTACTTTGGAAATGACCACACACATTTTTTCCATGTGTTTCCATCTGTATATGAAAAACATTGTGTGTGAAGTGGTTGTTAAGACTACCTGTTCCTAGAGAATCAAACCAAGAGTGAGAGTTTTCATAACATATTTATTGACTACCCCTAGTTATTCTACAGTAATGAGCCGATTATTTCGAGGATTCTTCAAGCAATAACAGTAAATTCACAATTTTATAGAACCACATTGAACAAACGTAAAATGGAATGGACACAATTTTAAATAAAGGGCAAATTCTACTATTCCTGAAGCAGTCTGGATAATTGATATAATTTATGCCATCTGCATAATTATGTAATTAATGTAATCTCTCTCTCTCTCTCTCTCTCTCTGCAGCTTCAGGTTGCAACAAGAATGCCACCCTAGCTTATCTAAATTTGTAATATTGTCTTGAGTGTTCAGAGAATGGAGTGCTACTTCATAAATATGTTTAAAGTTAAATAAATAGTTCAAAATACCCATTTGAATCTTCATATTTTTAGTTAGTTTGAGACTGACTAAGGTTTGATTGCAATGGTAAGGGAGGAGTTCGAGTTCTATATGCTGTCCAGTAACTTGCTTTGATTTTTATTCTTTATTCACTCTTTCACATGTATGCTCCAGGAGCATCACAAACTACCAACTGAAAGAGGACAGAATGCAAGAATAACTTCATCTGTCTCGCATTTTCCAATATAGAACTACTCAGTCTTTGAGAACTCGGCTAATAGACCATTGACTGAGCATGTGCAGGAAAATGCAGCAGTGCATTTTGAAAGCTTTCCTATATATTAAGTATTTAGTTCCCTTACATTATCTTTCTTCTGAGAAGATGAGTTTTCAGCAGTCTGGCCCTATCCTCCATGACCAGAGGGAACTGTGGCAGTTTCTTTATAGTAGATTTCCATATATGTCAAAGCAGTTACTCTGTCTTGACTAAGGGCAATTTTGAACATGAATTCACCAGGACAGAGTCAGCCACTGCCTGCATTCCCAAGAACATGCCTAAACTCAACATAGTATTAAGGAAGATTCTGCCATCTCCTCTTTTGAAGTTTAAGCATATTCATTGTCTTAATTTCCTTTCCCTGATGGACTTGTTTTCTAAATGCTTTCCTCTCCCCAGTGTTTACAGAAGGCTTATCCCTATAGATGCAATATAGCAAATTCATGACTGGCTCTCCCAACATGTTTTTATCCAGTTAAAGGCAGACATGAAGAAGGAAAGGGCACTTGGGGGAGCATTGTCAGTGGGTGACAGGAAGGTCATAGTTTCCCAATGCTATTTTTCAGATCTCTCCCTATGAGCTCACCCCTCCCTCCCCCCGGCCAGTGCCACGGGAGGAAAAAAATCAAGATCTCTGTACTATGCTTGCATTTTAGCAGCTTCATGGGGGGACTAGACTAAGACCAGAGAAAACACACTTGCTGAAGCAGTAGGTGTCTTTGCCCCCAAATGGGGAACATGTTGGGAGATCTAATCTTGGATCTCCCTGATAACACTTATTTCATAATTCAGAGATATTTGGGAGGGCAAAGGGCCGTTGGCAGAAGACAATAATAATTTAAATGCAAACATTTGACTTTCTTGTGATCATGTGCTCTGATTACTTGGTTGGATATCTCCAGCACTGGCAACTACTGCAGTCAAAGTGATGATATTTTCCCCTCTCCTTTTAAGTTCTCACTGACTTTGTTGGATACCAACGGTTATTGAATCAGGCAAGCAATTCTGCTGTCCTTATTGTAGCTGTTTCTTTAGCAACATAGAAGGAGCTCATATGTTTTAATAACACTATATTGATTTCTTGCAGAACACAAGAAAAACCATACTGGTTTTGGTTTTTAAAAAGCCAAAATATTATTTATACAAAGGCAAATATAGATACTTTCTCTTTAGCCCTTTGAGATTTTGGCAGCTTCTGAATGCAAGCCAGTGAGGCACACTAACCCATAATTCTGTTGGGAGAAGGTGCTTAACACCATATGGGAAGCTCATGATACTATATTTTTGATGCATTAAATGAGAAGAGTTTGCCAAGCTGTGGATTTGTCCAAGGGGAATTGAAGTGCTAACTCTGTGTGTATGTTTATCAGGGTGGCTGTGTGAATGAATTTCATTTCACTTGCTGATGTGGCCGCTGCAGATCTATTTTTAGATGTCTAATCCTTCCAGTAGAACATGTCTTCTTTTTCTGATTAGTACAAAGCTGGCTGCTACTCAAATGATAATTACATCCCAGCCCATCACCTACCACAAGCCAACAAACAAGATGTTAAGTTATTTTAACCCTTGCATACCAGCTAACATTGTTGCTGGTTCTGTGTGAGCCACAGAGCTTGCAGAGATACAAACACTCTGAGATAACCATGGTAAAATCAATCACAGCAATTCTCCAAATCAAAACAATAAAAGGATGCCTTTCAACCTCATTTCATGAACTTTATCAGTAGGTTCAGGAAACACATTTAAATGTTATGGACTTGCTATTTTGGAATTATAAACTTACTCTTTTCCTGTAGTGTTTGTGAACCTGTGTCGGTAAATGGGTGCTTAATGCCACTCCATCATAACTGCATAGTAAAAACTTAACGCAGATTTCTTTACATCTGCCTAGAGAGCTCTCTTTCCAGCTTGACACATTAAAAAACAAAAGAGGAAATCCACCCACTGAACCAGATAAGAAAATTCATTAAAGTAGGAAAGCTGATTTGCACAGTACTTCCTTAGAAGTTATTAATCAAATCCAAGCTTCAGATTGGGCTTAAAAAAGAACACACATAAGTAACATAGATGTATCAGCCTTGTATTTGAAATTACAGTATAGCTGTCCCCAGTGAAAAATGTAGCTCACCATAAAAATAGCACAGGTTGCTGCAAATGATTGATTGATTGGATTACACCCCATGGATATCAGAAATGCCAAGTTGTCATCCTTTGCAGACCTATGTACCTATGTGTGTGGTATGGCTAGTTGTGACTACCACTCATTGACAACTTTGGCAGATCCTGCCCCTGTACATTTTTGGAGTGACGGTCAACACTCTTCACCTAGGTGTGCCCTGAAAATTGGCCATTATATGTTACCATTTAGAATAATTTGGAGTGATTTTTTTTTTTAAGTTACTTCTAAATAAAAGTAACTTTCAAACTCCCGCTTCTCCAAGAAACTATATTTTTTCATTAAGGAAGATATAGTGGACAAGATACACTCAACTTATGATTCACTCCTAAGAAGGTTGAGGTTTTTTACAGAGTTAGAGGCATTATCTATTAAAGATGCTTTTATTAATACTTCTTAAATGGAAGGAAATGGACAAGATGACCTGTTAAGGTCACCATATCTTGCCTGCTGTGATTGTTGGTTGTGATTCATTTTTTTGTCTCTTAACTCCTTTAATTATCCAAACTTAACCCAAATGCATGTGATATTTTGCACTTTTGACTACAGCTTCTTTGTTAATTCATGTCTGGTTAGCTTCAAAGAGAGATCCATCATAGATGTTTGGACTCCCTGCCTCACACTATTCCAGCTGTCCTGCAACTCTTCCTTGAGTATGCTTCTTCATTTTTTAAGAACATACTGTACTGAAGTAATAATCCAGAATAAAGTGTTTGCCAATAATCTTTCCATATTTCCTGTACACATGGAGAACATATATGGGATAGAATCCATATGTTTAATTCTATTTAGTTGACACTGCTTTGAAACTAATGCTAGGTAAATAAAATCGGCCTTAGTTGTACATGTTATACAGGGTATTAAGTTTATTAAGTCTCTGTAGTTAAAAGCAGAAACCCTAGCTGGACTTTTGCAAATGTCATCTCACAGATGATAACAGGATTAAGGATGCAATACTGTCTGCACTTACCTGGGAACAAACTCACTAAACCTCCATAGGATTGTGCTGTGAATCATCTTATTAACAGCTAGTGGGCTGCATTTTGCAGATAAGCGTTTTAGGAGACACAGAGCCACAGTTTAAAAAATGTTAATGGCCATTTTGAACCTTTGTGACAGAGTAGGTTATAAACAAAATGTTTAAGTTCAGAATAAAATCATGCTCAAAATACTTCATCTACATTAGGACACTACTATTATTTTTCCGATTCAAAAGCCAGTGCTGAGTTTATCAAATACTGTCCAACAAATTCATGGCTAAACTGAAGCTATAACTGGCTATTCTTCCAAGCTCAACTTGATGTCCAAATTAGTTCACCGTGATGAATTAGCAAGGGGGGAGGGAGGAAAACAATGCCTGCTGCCAGAATATCAGTGAAAGCTCTAACTAGACAGGACTGGATGACAGCGCATACTCTGCCATTATTCCACTTACGCTTCAGTTATGTACCCTTCCTTAAACATGTTAAGGGGCTTAGGAGATGTAGAGTCATTACACGTATATTTTCAAAGAACTCATGCTGCATACATGTTCTCCAAATTTTTCTTTACAACAACCTTGTGAGGTAGGTAAAGTTAATGCACAGCCTGAGTTGAACCAGTGAACTTCATGGGCAATTTGAGAACTGAATTTAAAGTCTCCCAATGTGATAACTACTGCACAAGATTAAATTCATTTTTTTTTCCAGGAATGTTACACACTTTATATCACTGTAGCTGTAATCATACTATGTATTAATCTCTGTATTAATTTCAAATTGTTTTACATAATGGGTTCAATAAATCTGGCTAATTCACTATTAGTTTGTTAACCTAGGGGCTAGGTTAACAAAACCAAGTTATATCCTTAGCTGAATGGGAAATTGTACATGCAAGTAGATATTGTGAGTTAGGATAGATGAGAAATTAATGGCATGAGAATGTTCACATGAATAAACCAATTCCATACTACAGGAGAATCAAAATTGCGCATGCGTACTCAGATTCACACTTTCTCAAATTTTGTATTCATTTCAGAATGTTTAAATTGTGCACAAATTCATATTAAACAAAATCAGAAATTCCTAAAAAACAAAACAGAATTATCTCTTGCTAACAATATACTTTTCCATGGGTGAAATTCTTTGTTAATACATTGGAACACTAGAATTATATTTACCAGAATCATTTCTTCTATTTGATAAATTAAAATATTTTTATTAATTAAAAAGTGAACCTGAGTAGTTGAACAGCATGTAAAAAACCCTAGAGTCACTTATCTGAATTGTATTCAGTGAAATTTACTCCAAGGTGGACATCAGTACATAAAAATAGCTTGTCAGTTCAAACTAAAGACTGTTCTCATCCAATTTTCCCTCCCTGTATTGGCTAACATTTATTGGATTGCACCATTAATTAATCAATCCATTAGAACTCATATATTTAACTGACTAAATTCTCCTTAACAGACTGACAGTCATAATATTCACAAGTCATCTGGAAACTAAATACACTAAATTTAAACTTTCAAGAATTTAGTTTTAGTACTGGGGAATTATAGGCAGAAGTAGCCCCCTGGAGTTTAACCCAGGGTGGGGGACTTAATAGTCTCGCAGATATCACTGACTTACAAATTCCCAGCATGTTGCATGGGAGTGCTGGGAACTGTAGTCCAGCAATGACTGCAGAGCCACAGAGTCCCCAATGCTGATTTAAATAATTCTCCATCACAGCAAGGCACATATTTTACTTAAATGACAAGTGACCTAGCTTCACCTTGGTGTTGGTTCATATTGAGCATCTTTAGATGAATACAAGCCATCCTCCTAATTTAAAAAACAAACAAACAAACAAAATTTCCAGACTCGGCAATGGAGGCTGTAATCTGGCTTTGCATGGAAATCAGTTTCTAGTACTTTTATGCCTCCTTCTTCTCAAATTGATTCTAAGCAAATTTCATGTAAAGTATCTAACAAAGGGAAGGGGGAGGAAAGCATATAATGTTAAGTGAATTTTGAAAAGAGCTTAACACCTGCCTTGAATGACGACTTTTCTGATTAACCATAATCTTTGCAGTGCTGCGAGGAAGAAAATATCACAGAATAATAGAGATGTACGACATCAGGGGAAAATGAAAGACATCTAGTTCTGCATTCTGACAGGCCACTTGGGGTTTAGCATTTCTGTTGACATGAGGCATATAGCTCAACACCAAGCTACGTCTAATGGGTCAGTGAAAACATGGGATATTGCTTATCTGGAAACATTTCCAAATCACCTGTACATGAAAAACCTTCACGTCAAGGAAAAAGCCTAACTACCAAATACGCTGTCATGAGGGCAGGACTGTAGCTTGGTTGGAAAGTCCTTGTTGAACCCCAGGCATCATAACGTCTAAAACAATGGAGAGTCAGTAGATACACCCTTGGGATAAGCAATTTCCCGTTTCTATTCACAATGCAATAAATTTCTGATGTGCCTTCCAACAAAATGCATTTCTTCAAGTGCGTTCCATGATCGTGTTGGAGGTTTGTGTCATACTCCCTTCCTGGACAGCTGAATTTGCTGTTAAAAATGGTGTTAATACAGCATGAAGAAGCACCACATGTAAACAAGGTGAGCCCTCATAACTATAGAAAAAAGATATATTTTGGTAGTGACAGTATGTGATATAAATGACTTTTGCTTTTGCTTTTCTGCAGGTAAATTATCTGAAAACTATTTTTCCTTTTCCTATATTATATTCTTTTCAGAGCTTTCTGCAATGGAAATGCCATCATAACCACCCAAATCTAGACGCAGAGAGAGGTGAGATTGCTTCCACTCATGCAGAGTGGCCTTTTAGCTTCCTACATCTGGTTGCATCCCCTGAAATGCTCTTCTCAATCCTGGAAGCTTGCTAACAATTTAAGAAGAAAGGCCTCTATTGGGTAGTAAAATAGGTCTCCAAACCACACCTGTTTGGAACTATGGGGCCACATGTATCAACAGCTCCAAACCCAAGCTTCAACATAACTGAAATGTCCACCCAGCAATGTAAAATGAAGAGTTTTGTTTTCATGGAATTTCACCCCTCACAACAACTCTATCGACATTTATTATTTGATTTTCAAAAGTCAAACTCTATGTTTTATGCCAGTGTGCCTATATACTTGAAAGAGGGAAGGCTCCTCAGTGTGCAAAGACACTGTTTTTCGGCATGCCATCTATTGTAAGCAGATGCATCAAATGTACGCATGCTTTGTGTTGCTTCTTACCAAAGTACATGAAATAACTGGAAAAGCTTTTATTAACATAAATTACATTCTATACATCAGCAAAAATACCCTTCACTGGCATTTTGCTGGTGCAGTCTCCATAGTTACCAAAACCTATTTCTCTGGACTAACTTCTGCATATTCACCTGTAAGTGTTGTGGGAATATAATAGCATCCCACAACTTTGTAGCCTAAACAGGCGACTCCAGCCTTAGCTTTGGCACTGAAGACAAATTCCAGGGCCACGCTTTGATATATGTGAAGCTCTGTCCATAGCACTGTGGTAGCCAACCACTGCTGGGGGAGGGCCAGTTTATTTAGCACATTTAAAATCGTCCAAGGCAAGTGATGAACACCATACCCTGTAGATTGCTGCCCTCTCAACCTAATGTAATACATGGGGCCGGTGTACCATCCTTCAGTCAGAAAAAAAGGTATTTGTGAATAGGTTTATGATCTACTGCTGCAGACCACCTGACAAGAATCTCTCTCTCTCTCATGGTTCATTGTTATCAATAAAAATCGCTTCAGTTCTATTAGCTTCCTTTTTTCCCTATATTACAATTTCAGTATTGAATGAAAGCAACGTACATGCCTACACCAAAGAGCATGGTACGAAAGCTCACAGCTGTGATACAACTTAATACTTAGCACAGTGTTTTCCAAATATAAAGGAATACTTAAGAAAGGTAAGGCTACTTAGAGGAAGAACAAGACCCAGATGGAACCAACAAAAATGGAGCCAAGGGCCACCTATTATATGAGGTGGACAGCACCACTGACATCTCTAATAATAATAATAATATTCTCCTCAACTCATGCTGTCTATAAGCATTGTGTGGCCATCTTTTAAATCAACCTTCTCCACACCAATGACTTCCAATTATGCTGGCGTGACAAATCCCAGAATTTTCAGGCAGAATTCTCATTGGCTGTGCTGGCTGGAAATTCTGGGAATTGTTAGCCCAATGCTACTAGAGAGTAGCAGGCTGGGGAAGGCTGATTTAAATGAATGCGGTGGGCAGCATTCTGCTTTTTAAAATAAGCTGCATTATTTATCTAGCATGTATTTTTCTCCCAGCCTGGCTTCCAAAGTCTAACCCAAACCAGTTAGTTAAAAAGCACAAGCATTTCTTTTATTCTGACAGGGCTGGTGTACTGCAGACATTTAGCAAAAAGCACTCAGTATTGATTGCCTAGATCTCAACAGATTACTCCAGATCATGAATTCACGATGACATCCAGTTGATGATAGGCCAGCTCCTTTTTCTTTTCTCTGGCAGTATTTTTCCCTTGATATTTAATGGCCGTGAGACCATTTTGGTGGCCATATTTTCCAATAGCGTAAAACTTCCATTTGAGTTTCTGCTGTTCTACTGTTCATGACACTAGAGTAGTCCTGTCAGGAAAGGTTTCTATTAACAAGCCTCTGAAGTTGAGAGAATCAAGCTAATCTATTTAAAATGTTCATTAAACACAGTGACAACACTGCTATTAACGCTGGCATTCACTCACTAGCCAATTTGAAGTTCTGATGGCAATGGATACATCTTTTGGGGGGACAGTTTCTTAGCATCATGAGATCTAAGATTAAATAATACTCTCTAATTATCACCAGCTTCTATTTAAAAATAGATGAACAAATGGCAATACATTGAGAATCTTCATAATAATTAGGTTTTGGCTGTCCTTCTCAACTTATTTACTTCCTATTTTAATGGTGATTTCTGCTCTATGATACAAACTTTTCCAAAAGTGCACCGATCTAAAGCAATTAGAGAAGTGCAGCTTCAGTCCTTATTCTGGATTGTTTTGAAACCTTATTCTGGATTATTATGTAGCTCAAGTACATCACAGACACCTGTACAATTTATTGTACATAAACAGTTTATGACTTGTGTATGTCAAAGCACAGTTAATCTCTCCTTCCTAATAGTCAGTTCTCAAATGAGATCCACACAGTTCGTGCACCATCTCCAGCCATCTCTTTCAGCTTTCGTTACTATCGGAGTAGTTTAAATTGATAAGAGGCACCTATCGAAAAAAGGAGCTAATGTATTTATAGACAAGCTGGAAATGATTTGCTTTTGGCCCTGGAATTTCAGGGGAAGTCAACAGTCTTCAGCCTAACAGGAATGCTACCTTATTTGGTACAGCAAGCTTATTTTTTTAAAAGACAATTATGTCAGGAAAAGCCATTAAGTTGAACTGTATTGGTAACATGATCTATATTTTCAGCAAAACAGACACTGTTTTTTCTATCAGAAATGGATATAATTCCTGCGCTAAGATACATTGTAAATACGCTTGCTTGTGCTGCAGTGTGTTTTATTGCACATAGACCAATGACATACAGTAGTAAACGGCACTCAGAGAATATAAATACACTATAAAATGCATGTGCATACAGTCTCTTGCATACACAGACACACAGACACACAAATGCACAGAAGTAAAATGGAGAAAGACAATGAAGCACTAAATTCACAAAAGGTTCACATGATTTCCTGGGAATTAAAGAAGTTACCTATCGAAACTCTTGGGTATGAACATACTTACAGTACCTCCATTAAATCATATAAAATGGTTTTAAAAAAAGACAACATATCAGCCAGCAGTAGAAATCAAGTTGGAATCTGCTTTGTTTTCCAGTGGGTTTGTCTATAAGAATGTGTGTGTTTGTGTGTGTGTGTGAGAGAGAAAGAGAGTAACAGAGAGAACTTTGTTAATACTGTGCAAAAGAAAAAAAAAATCTCATTCTTTTCAAATGTGCAGTCATATTTCTGGTGCTTGTAGCCAATTTTTCTCTTTCATTTTTCAATGTGAACAATTTGTCTATTGAGATACTCCTGACTCTATTTTTATTTTAAAAAACCCTTAACTAGCAATACATAAATAAGCTGTTTAATATAAACACATTTTCCCTGTACAATATGCACAGCTTGAGGTAGATGTTTTATAGCCTTACTGCTGATGTCTCATATGATAAGAAAAGCAACATCCCTCACCCCCGACATCATGGGGGAGAAAGGAGCGAACCCGAGAGAAATTGGATCAAAGCAAAATGATCTCCATTTGCAGTATTACTGATGGATCTTCCTTCTTCGATATTAAGGAGTGTGTAGGTTTTCAAGCCTAAAAGCTAATGAGCACTTACTGTATTTGGGAACAAGTTTCATCAAACTCGCTTCCAACTAAACATGCATTGGATGATGAGACTGCATAACAAAACTCACCAGAAAATGTTTCAATGGCTTATTCAAAGAGACTTTTAAGCATGGTTACTAAAGTTGTTTCCTGCCTGAAACTCACACCGATTTCAAGAAAGATAACAGGTGGCCAGCACTTCTTCTTTTCCTTTCAGTTTTGCAAAGGATTAAATAAATTAAAAACAAAAAAGGCTACTTGTGCTACTGACACACCCAGTAATAGTAAAAACAACTAAAGGGCGTTATCTCTAGCTCTAAAATTAAACTATCAGCCAAGGGCTTCTTCCTATTTCCTTCAATATCAGGAGAGCCCTGCCTTGCTTTTCCATTATTTTTAGGCTGAACCCTTGCTACAAATTCAGTTCTTCCTGAAACATTTCTTTTACAAACTCCTTCCAACTTGCTTTTGCTCCTTTCCTGGCACACCGACACCTACTTACCTAACCTCTCCCCCCACCTTTGCAGCATACATACTAATAATCCAAATGGCTTGGAAAATGGAGAGTTAATCTCCTTTGTTCAATGGTCAGTCACTGTTTCCTTCAATTTGGGATGAGTCAGAAGAGGTATGCTGTATGCAAGTTCACCTGCTTTGCACCTCAGATAAATAATATCTTCTTCCAACTGAGAAAAGTCAGTCTGGAGTTGTGAATATTAGCCAGTCTCCTGATGTGTTCTTTTAAGGTGTTTTGATTCAGTTTTTTTTCCTGTCCTGCTTATTGTTTTGGCTCCCTTTCTTGCTCTGTAATATGCAACATACCCTCCCATTTCTTTTATCCCACTCACCATATGCCCTTTATACCTTGGACTCTGAATAGGAGATTTTACTGTTCCCTTCCTCCAAGCTGGAGTCACTTCCATCCTGCATACCACCATTGTAATCAGACCATGTCCCTCCAAGAGTGCATGGAGCAGTATTTCCCAGGGTACTGATGAAACCTCCAGGGTAGCGAGAGAGCTCCCCAGTGCTGGCATGCAACCTCCGGTCTGCTTTTCTAGGACAGCACAACATCCTTTTGAAGGCCTTACGGAAATCAGGGCTCCTGCAGTAAATGATGGGATTGAAGGCAGAGTTGGCATAGCCCAACCAGTTGAAGAATACAAAGAGCTGGTCTGGTACAAGCCCTCTGTGAAAGACTTTGACTATATTGACCAAGAAAAAGGGCAGCCAACAGAGAGTAAAGACCCCCATGATGATGCCCAAAGTCTTAAGAGCTTTCTGTTCCCTTATAGCTAGAATCCGGGATGTTTTTCTTCTACTAGTTTGGCCATTACCCAAGATAGGCAGGTGCTGGTGGGCTGGATGCTGGTGCTGCTGGTGATTATTGTAGAACCTACCCTCCGACCTATCGATCTTCTTCATCTGCTCCTTGGCTTCTCTGTAGACCCTAAGGTAGACAAAAATCATAACAAAAAGAGGGATGTAGAAGGAGATGATGGAGGATGCAATAGCATATGCCCTGTTGGTGACAAAGTCACAGCAGCTGGGGTTGCTGTAGCAGTTCAGAGCCTCAGGGTCGCCATCCCTCCACCACTGCATCATGATGGGCAAGAAGGACACCAAGGCAGAAATGGCCCAGACAACACAGACAATGATCTTGGCACGCTTCTTCGTCATGAGGCTTTGGTAGCGGAAGGGCGAAGTAATGGCCAAGTAACGGTCAATTGCAATGACGCACAGTGTCTCTATGCTTGCTGTCACGCACAGGACATCCACTGAAATCCAGCATTCACATAGGAAGGAGCCCCACAGCCACGAGCCTCGCACTACTAGGGTGGCACCAAAGGATACCACCACGGAGCCCATCACCAAGTCAGCACAAGCCAGGGAGGTGATGAAGACGTTGGTGAGAGTCTGCAGCCGCTGCGTCCTCCCAATGGCCGCAATCACCAGACCGTTGCCCACCACAATGAATGTCACCATCAGAGACATCAGGAGGCTCATGCCCACCACCCACTGCTGGGGCAACTCTTCAGCTTCCCAGCTGCCAGGCAGATCCAAGTCAGTTGAGGCGTTGGGGGGTTTCAGGCCAGCCTGAGCTGTGAAGTTCGATCTGTTGCGAGGGCTGTCCTCTAAGAAGAGCCATCCCTCTCCCATGGCTGTGCAGCAAGGGAAGGGTCAGCTCAGGGCACCCACGCTGGAGGCATGAAGGCGAAGCGGGTCCCCCTCCTCGCGAGCGCCGGCGGAACGGCGACCGACTTGCTTCGGGGCTGCAGCATGTTTGTGAGCGCTTCTCCGGCGGGCTCCTGCGCCCAGGACACCTCCCCGCGGCCCACGCGTCAGGCGCTCAGCAACCAATGGGCGGCCGAAGCAGCCACCTCTCTACCTCCGGAGCGGGACTCGCCTGGTGACCGAGGGGGCAGAGCCGCGGGACGCCCAGCTCTGAGAGGAGTGGCGGCGGCGCTCTCCAGGATCGCACGACCCCGCCGAGTTCCGGGGAGCCTTTCGAGCGGTGTCCCCTCCTTTGAAAGATTCAGCGGCGGGTTAGGGAGTCCCGAGAACAGCCTTTCGGGCG